ATTAGGGTCCTGGGGCCAAATCCAGCATCACTGGCATTAACGGGGATGAGTCGAGATTTCCATATGGGTTCATATAGGATTCCATATGAACCACCAAGATATGTATGATCTGGACAGAGAAGGAAATTGTGGTGGTTGTTCTTGCAAGGATAATAGGGTCAGCTTTTGCTGTGGGAGGTGTAAGGCTTGTGGCATAATCCAAACTGTTAGAGGTAAGGACTTCACTGGGGTAGGAAACACTGCCCATGGGGAGCCTCTGCCAGGCTACATCCACCATGAGGTGTCCTGGCACTGCAGACAGTGCCTTTCTTCCTCATACCACTGCCCAGTGAAGGCAGATTTTCACTTTAAAACTCTAAGTGCCTAGATAACTTGCTCAGGCTGAGGTGGATCCCACCCCGAGGCCCACAGCATGGCAGCTGGCACCACTAGCTACCCCAGGGAGGCTGCAGTGGCAGCATAAGTGTAGTTTTCTTGGAGTTTGGAAAATTTTGCCCTGGAAATGGACTCAAATCCATGTCTATGGTCAACTGGGAGGTTTTAAAAACAACCCTGTTAGTTCTGATCTGCATCAAACTGCTGCTTGGTGGAAAGCCACCTGAAGAATCGTTCAAGGGCCTGCGAGGGCAGCTCTTGGCCTATGCCTTGGCAGGACTCTTGGCCCTGACATTCCCCTGAGCAGATGACAGCAGCCCATCTCCCTGGAAAATAGGAGTGATGTTTACAAGCTGTGACATAAGGGCCCGAGTGCCAGCAGCTCCACCAAGACACCGGCTCAGCACAGAGGATGGTTCACTTCCAGGGAAGAGTGCTTTTCAAAAGGAAAAACACCCACAACTTAATCTTTTTCTTCTGATGTCTTTTTTTAAGCTGAACAACAGATTTGTTTAAAGAAGATACTTCCCCGTGATGAAGTATTTTGAAAAAGCAGACCTTCCTCTCTGGCAAGGTGTCTAAATTTCTGGTGGCTCCTTGTCTGCAGTGGGTATGGCAAGCACTCATCCTAAAACCCTGCCCTTTGCCTTCAAACTTGGAGCCCTCGCATCCCTGCTCCCAGATTAAGGGTGGTTTTGGAGGACACGGTGGGATTAGGAGGCACTTGAGGGCTGGTGAAAAGACTTCAGTGCTGAAGGTACATGGATAAAGGTCTCTGGCCCCCAAACCACAGACAGATCATGGCCTGAGGCTCTTCTTTCCCTGGAGACTTTGAGCCCTGAAGTCTGAGATGCTGCTAAGGGGGAAGAAGCAAGGATAGCAGGTGACAATCTGACCCCATCCCATGTGCTGTGGTTGGGCATGGTGGTGGAAATGCTACTCCATGATAAGTACTCTGATCGCTGCCAGCACCCAGGTAGGGACCAACCAGCCCATTCCCTATTTTTGCGAAGGAAAAAAGGCAACCTTTGAAAGAGGAGAGAAACCACACTAACCAAGAAGTCAGGAAAGGAGAAAAAAAAGAAAAAAAAGGTGCGTATGAGCCAGGCTGCCTACCACAGGCATTTAGCTTGTGCCAAGTGAGCAGATAAGTCAGTCCTGACAGTAAATCCCTAAATTCCCTGCACAGGAACCAGGAGACAGAAGGTCTCCAGAAAGAGAAAAATAAATCAAGAGGGCAGGACCTCACCCTGGGGCATCTCCAAGCCCCTTCCCTCTCCTCACTGACCACGCAGGCAGTGCAGCGTGGGCGAGGGATGCACACCAGGAGCCAGCCGGCTGCTTTTTCCAGGGGCTCTGCGCTCGCCTTGTTTCCTTTCAAAGCATTCCTCCCAGTGATTCGCCCGAGATGCCACAGGAATGCAGCGGTGAGGGAGGGGAGCAGCAAAGCCTTGTGTCTAAGCGGTTTAACAGGAGCAGCCATCGTCCTCCTCCTCGCTCCGCTGGAGCTGCAGAAGCAAAGGCTGAGCGCACGAGCATTGGGCTCAGCGCTTGGTGTTCAGCCCCACCAGCCCCATACCTTGTGCTTTCTGCATTTCCAGGAGCTTCACAGCTTTTGATATCGCTCCTGGCTCAAGGCTGGGTGATGGTTGGGTATCTGAGATAGGGCAAGGCTGTGGGTCTTGAAGCCCTCCCAGGAGTTTAGCCCCAGGGAGAGGTGGTGCCACCCTGTCAGCCTCTTTGCTGAGACCTACATCCTCCCTCTGTGAATTCCTCCACTTACAAGGAATTGCATTTGCAATTTATATCCTGCAATCAACATCTGTTCTGGTTCCTTCTGAGTGCTGTCCCAGGTGGTGGATATTCCCAATACACCCGCCTAGTTCCTGGGGAACACAGTGCAGCTATTGGTTAAGCCAGTTGCTTAAAAGTAAATGACACCAAAATTTTAAGTGCGCTACCCAGCTCAGCCTTGCTGAACTTAAGGAAAACTATTTAAAGTGAAGACTAATGCATATTTTGAATAAGGAAAACAATGTCTTTTCTCTGTTGCTGGGAGCAATTTAGGTGTTGAGAATGAAGGGGTTTGTAAGTCTGTCTCACAAGCCTTGCTGCTTCGTGGATTTCTGCATTTCGCTCTGCCTAAATTCTGAAAGCAATTGAGTTGCTGCTTTTGCTAGTTGGGTTTTTTTTTTTTCTTTTTTTTTTCTTTTTTTTTGTAATCATTTTTGTCTCAGAGCTCAGGCTGCAGTTTCAGCTGGGCTTCAAAAATCTCTGTGAGACTTTTTTTTCTATAACTCATACAGAAACTTTCCATTTCCACAGCTACCAAACTTTCCAAAACTCACAATCCACTTTAATTTCCAACTCAGCTTTTCCCCATGCAGTATTATTAGTATCACAATAAGGCTAATTACATCTGATATGCCTAAAACTACTTTGCCAACATACCTTTCCCCAAGCGTATTGTTCTCAAATTGAAAGTTGCTGCATGACCGTGTCTCCAGCTAACCTTGTTTTCCTTGGCTTGTATTTCAATAGGATTAGGTCACTATTCCCCTTCCACACACAATGAATTAATTAAATATCAATGAAGGGATACAACAAGCAAGACCCAGGCACAAAATATGTTGTGTCCTTCCCTCTCGCTGATGGGAACCAAGGGACAGGAGACATGGCTGATCAGTGCAGCACAGCATCTTATGCATTGCTCCTATTTATTGAGATGTCATTGTTGATTTCTGAATGAGCTGGCCTCTGTCTCATGTTAAAGTTGTTCCTAGAAAGTTCATTTAATGGTCCTGTTAAACATGCACCCTTATGTGACAGGGTAACAGTGAAAGAAGTGCAATATATTCAAATATATCATCCCCAGACGTAGATGGAGCTGAGAACCAGCATCAGCTGGTAAGGAAACATATGTATTTTCACCAATAGTCATTTCATTAAGAATAATATTCATTTAGACCAGGGTTATAACTGATTTGGGATATTTGAGCATGGTGTATGTCACTGTAATGTGTTACAGCCTGGAGAATTTCCCTGGAGGCCCTGGCAGAGGTGACCGATGCTCTGGTGTGGTAGGTGCTGTCTGGATGGCTGTAAGCTCAGGCTTAGATTAACCATGGCTCTTAGGAGTACAAAATAGGTTGGAGCCATGGGTTGTGGCAGGATCAGAGCGGCTGAACCAAGACGTATCAGCTGTGCATGAGCTGCAGGTAGCACTTGGTAGCTGTGGCAAATGCTTGCGAGGGCCCAGTGATGCCACACGCACCCAGGGGAGAGGCAGTCAGTGGCCACACTGGGCCCTGACCTTTTCAAACCCCCAATTCCCCATCCACAGTCCTAATATGGTGTTTAAATGGTCATTTATTGCACACAGGAAGGTTGTTGTATCATTTTTTTACACTCACACAGCACAGGAAAGATAAGCACAGGAATATAGCCACAGCACAGCCCCCCAAAAGAGCCAGAGGATAAAGTACTTCACAAGAGGTGGGAAGAGATGGGGGCAGGAAACAGGGAAAATAACATCAACTGAGGGTTCAAATACTTCAAAACCTCCTGTGGGTAAGGTGATGCCAGAGCAACAGGTCCCCTGCAGCAGGTTCAGAGCACAGAAGCTGGGTGCCTGCACCCTCCGTGCCAAGAAGTTAAAGCACCATTAAGAGACCTCGCAGCCCCAACTCCTCTTCTCCTCCCATCCCTGGGGCTGGCAGCTCCCAGGCAGTGCATATATATAAACCTTTGTTCCTCTGTCACTTCTGGGTCCAGCTGGAGAAAGAGAGAAGCAGAGCAAATCCCAGCAGGGGTCAAAGCGTGAGCTCATTGCGTTAAATGTCATCTCGCACAAAAGCACAGAGACAGGGACATTTGCTGGAAGTGGAGCCCACGTCTCCTCCCCATCGCATATATCAGACCTTGGGGAAGTTTTATGCACAGGAGGAAAACCCGTGCTGAGAAAGGCAAATGTTTGAAGTTAACACAACGTCTATAAAAGTCGTGTTCCCCTATAAATCCCTCTGCTCTGGACATTTTGGCTTCATACTTCACATAAGCTGCTGCTGCTCAGCTGCCTTTACAAACAGATAGGATTTCCTTGGCTGTAGGCTTGGCTGGGAACCCTGCTGCTGCAGGAAAACTTCTGGGTTTTGAAGAACAAAGGCAGGTGCCCCAGTGCAACCTGCTGTCCTCTGGTGCTGCCAGAAAGCTGAGGTGTCCTCATCTCTCCTGAGCATCCAGAGGAATTGACAGAGCCTTTTTATTTCATTTATCAGATCCACTTGGGTGCAGGAAAGCAGGGGGATTGAAGAGGGCATACTGAGACCTGCAGTCAGCTGTGCTTGGTGCATCCCTTAGGAGAGTCTTTGCACCACCCTGCTTAATCTAACTTAGATCCTGAGCAGGAAACATTGGTGTTATGGGTTTGTTTGACAGTCACTGGAGAGAGAGAAAATCCTCTACAGGAGGAGTCAGAGAATCTAATTCAGAGCAGGGAAGCAGGCACTGGAAACAGCATGGAAACAACTCAATTCCTGCTGCTGCACACAGCTGGAGGAGGCAGGAGCAGCAGAGGCTCTACCCAAGCCCTTTCCTGTAAGCAATAAGAGATTTGTGAAACCTCGAGGGAAATAGCAGCAATGACTGAAATCAGTCTAGACAAACAAAGCCCAGGGGCTTGACAAAAGACATCTGCATCTGCAGAGAGTGGAGCAAGCTGTCCTGCCCCTTCACCAGTGAAGTCCCTTCCCCAGGACCCTATGGAGCTGTCTGAAAGGTTTTTTTGCTCTTCTTCCAGGCTGGGGACAAAGCTGGGTGCTGGTTCCTGAACTGCTCCACCAGCCCAGAGCAACCAGGAGACCTCAGAAAGGAGCTGTTGGTGATGGAACAGGTGATGAGGAGATGTATATACACAGCAGAAGACCAGGCTCAACGCTAACCCAAGTGCAGAAAAGCCACAGGCTCCCAGAGAGGTGAGGTTGGGGGGAGCAAAGAAAAAGGCACGGAAAAACAAATATCTGCCATCTGCAGGCACTCTCTGGCTAACATCAGCCTGCTGAGAGAGAAGCTGAGGAGGCAAAATGCCTTGGACAGTAATCAGCAGCTCCGAATAACAAACTCGGAGCACTAACATCTGGCTATTGGGACCTCGCTGCTGCTCACAGATATTCCTGTCCCACCGGGCAGCTCGGAGCAGCCTGTCCACAGCTCTGTCCGCTGCGTGGGCTGTAAATCCTGAGCAGCCCCAGACCACCCTGGATGTGATAAATGAGCAACAGGCTGCTCTGAGCATGGCAGAGTTTGGTAAAGGACCAGTCTGGAAGGTGCAGAGATATAGTGTTTAGGGGGTCACCCTCTTGCTTGCCTGGTTTTGAATGGCCCTAAACATTTGGAGCATTAATTGCCATTTTCCATAGGAGTCAAAGACTGCTGCTTCGCTCCAGGACGATCCCTAGGATAGGATCATGCTCCTACACCAGTATGTGAATTCTCCCTAGAAATTTTGGAAACTTGATAAACCCCTATGAGCTCCTGGGCAACCTACTGCCTTCTACAGGGAAAAGCTTTTCACACAGGGCTGGATTCAATGCCTGTGGAAAATAAGGTCTCCAGGTGAGGGTGAGTCAGGTCTCGCAGTGCACACAAGCGTGCAGCCCTCTTCCCAGCCTGATTTCAGGAGGCGAGGAGGAGGATGGTAGCTGCCCAAGTGACAGTCAGCACCGGACAACGCGTCCCCAAGCTGGTGGATGCCCTGCAGTGAACTCTGCCATGCTAGCACCTAAATTACTGAACACACACTCAGCTGCTGGTTAATGTAATGATGGTGGCTCTCGACTGTTTAATCCTGAGTTAATAATTGTGTCAGGGTGAGATAATTACATAGCAAGTGCCGCAGCACTGCACAGGGAGCACATGGTGACATCGCTGAGATACAGTCACGCACTGGTTTCCTTGGCTCTTTTGTGAAAAATTGCCCTGTGATCTGAAAAATCTTGTAAGATCCTGCTGTCATGCTCACTTACCTGTAAAATATGTCTTTATACTTTCCCAGTACTTAAGGTCAGGTACCAAATGTGTCCCTGTAGTCTGTTACCATTTGGGTATGAGTGTGCATATGAGGGCTTCAGACCTGATTATAAACTTAGTTTTCTCTCACAGTTTGAAAATACTGTGGATATTTATTTTGCTTTTCTTACATTTCTCTGAAGTGGAAGTTATCCGTGCTTCACCAGTTTTGTATCACATTCTTTTAGCAATAGCAAGAGCCAGGACCTGGACAGCCCCCGAGGGCAGACACTGGGAATTGCCCCCCAGCCATCCAGCAGAAGCAACCTCAGAAACACCAGGCACCATCCACACAACCCCATTTTTTATAACCTCAAGGCCATAAAAACCACCACCAACAACAAAAAAAACACTGTGAGAAACCCAGAACTACCCAGACCTGCAGTCTATTCTCTTAACTAGCACGCTTTTGTTGTCTTTTGGCAACGGTAATTTTGGAAGAACAAAATTGCAATTCTTGCGAGTTGCGTTATCTGAACAGCTTGTTCTCATTAAGCAACACGCACACTTCACACCTAATCAAAGTGGGCAGATAAAATGAGTGTTCTGTTCAGAGGAAAGGAACTGGATGTCTCCATTACAGAAAAAGCAATAATCAGTTAGGAGAAAAGCAGTCCCAATGAGAGCTAGTTTCTCCGAACTTCAGTTCTCCCTATCCAGAATGGGATAACAGGAAATCTGCCATTTTCAGAGCTTTCTGAATTAATATACCCAAAACCAGAAAGGTCTATATTCAGAGTTTTGATGGTACAAGGATGGAAGCAACTGGGGAGCCGGGATCTGTGGTCAGATACTTTATTTTCATGCAGAATGGTCTTGGTGCTTCCCTGTCCAAATTCAGAGGTTGAGCCCAGAAATCAGTTTTCCATGAACAGGACTGCTTCACATAGCATGCCATGGCATCTCCGTCTCCAGCGACCTGGAAACCCATTTTCCTGAATCCTGGAGAAACCACCTGGCACTGGAGCACAGAATTGGTTGAGTTTTCAGTAATTAGGGGTTTAGTTGATAAAAGTTAGGAATACAAAACCTGCCTCTCTGAGTGTCACGAATAAAGGCACGTAAATCCACATTATCCAAGAAGGGAAAAATTCTAGTGTGAATGTTTGGGTCAGACAGGTTAGCAATGTCTATGGGATCTGGATGTGTGCTGTGTCACATTCGTGACAGACAGGAGGAACTCTCAGAGATGGGATCCTGATCATTGGGCAATTTTGGAAATCTCCCCATGTGATTTACCAAGAGTTTGCTCTAAGTCTTCTCTGAAGACAAGGATAAGGTGGTTAAATGTGCTGAAATCGTGAAACCTTATTCCTTCAGATGCTGGAATAAACTGTAGAGTGCTTCAATTGCAGAAGTTTATAACACCAGAAAAAGAGGAATCTCTGTGGTATTAAATAATTATTTTTTGTCCATATTTTTTCTTCTTCGTTGTAAAGGCTGCCTGTCTGCAGGACAAGGGCATACATGTTCAAGTGAATTACAGTGGAGTTGTGTTGTACAAGTGCCTTGTAGATTAGAAAGAACTAAGATACACTGGACTTTAATTTCATTACTGGAAAAAAGAAAAAAAATCTTTTTGGGGAGCTCAAAGCTCAAACCTGGACCATTAATTGGTCAATTGAACACATTCAGATCACATCTGTCATCAAGATGGGACAACTGTGCCCTCTGCTAGGTGCATGACCTAGCACATTCACATGTTGCCATTTGGGAGGGCATGGACGTGTTCATGCTTCTCCTTGGCTCCAGGTGTATCCAGCAGAGGACGCAGATGGGTAGGTGTTGTAGCCCCAAGACCAAAGTTTTCAAGCACGACCACAAGGACAACTTCCATCAACTGTGCTCATCAGGACACGGATGAAGAAACCAACCATCCTTTAGTCACCATTCATCAACAGGGGCAGAACGGGTGAGAGCACCTGGGCAACAATGTGCCAGTGGTCACACCTCGTCTTAAAGGCCAGCAGACTAGCAGAAAAGCCAGCTGAAGAAACAGAAGGGCTTTTATATAGGAAGGACGGGAAATATTTATTCTCATTCATTGGCTAGGACAGAAATTAATGGAAATTTGAGCTAGTGGAAGAGCAGAACAAGAACAGAGCATATTCCCTGGGAGGGACAAGTACAGACCTTTTCCTGAAGGTATTTGAGGTCTCTTTCCATCATCCAAATGTGATTTAGGGTTAATACAAGTAAACTCCAGCACAAGCTCAGCTGGAAAGCCTGTATGACAAATTTGTTTAATCTGATTCCAATCCAGACAGATCTCCCAGCTCTGCCTCGGTCTGTTTAATCCTGTTAATAAGTACATTACTGTACGGATATTCAGCACCTACACTTCTCATCGCAGCCAGTGTTACTGAAAGACAATCAAACTGGGGATCTATTCTGCTCCCGCACTAGAGCTCTGAGCCATTTCAAGTGCAGAAGCACACACACAAAAAAAATTGCATCATTTCAAGAGTGTTTCCTTCTATCCACTCCCCACCCCAGAGGTCCTGCTACTTACTGACATTTCTTTATTTAATCCCTTCCTAAAATAACCTTTTTCCATTGAGAAATTTGGAAGTATTTGGGAAGGGGGAGGAGTTGTTTGCTGTTTTGATGGGAGGAAAGAGAGAAAGAAAATTATTTCCTGGCTGAGATTTATATGTCAAGTTTTAGCTTGCAGCCAGACTTTTTTAGCCAAGTTATAAAATCTGAAGATAATTCCAACTCTCCTCCTCAGTAACTTTTATGAAGTAATTCCTGATATGTGCCGAAATAAAAGAAGAGTTTATGCCGTGGAGGCTTTCAATGGAAATGAAGAGACCTATCCCTGCACAAAAGGAAAGGGTAGAAACGTGTCAGCCTAGGCAGAGCTGGTCATCAGAAAGCAGCAGCTCAACCCCAGGTCACTAAAAAGCTGGCGAACACATTGACAAATCTGCACATCTTCAATAATCTGGATGCAAACTGAGAGCAAGGTGTAGGTAACACAGGTAGCTTGCACTTGATGGTGGATAAAATGTAGCTGAGCTTTTTTTGAAGCACCAGGATTGTTGGAAACTTAAGAGCAAATACCTTAAAGATGCTCCTGATCTGCTGAGACACTACAGCTCAACTGTGATCAGCTGGAAGGTGTTTTGATCATGTCTTCCAGCAAAAGGACACAGAAATCCCACATTGAGCCTTCGGCACTATTGTATTCTTCCCTTCTGTCACATTTGCCATGACCAGACTACGTTGGGACACTGAGGTGACCAGAACCATGGGTGACCAGTCACCCATGGACTAGCTCAGAAGGAAGAGCAAAGAAGCAGCAGAGATGAGTAACCACATCTTGATTGGGACTCTGAGAAGAGGCTAGGTCTGGTGGCTACGTCCACATTAGCAAGCTGAAGCAATAGGAAAGTATCTGCATGTCGAAGCTGAGATTGCTTTGATTTGACGTGACTTCTTGACAAACCTGTGATGGCTGCTGTTCCTCCAGGTGTTTCTTGTATCTGTGTGGCTTGGGAAAACTTCAGAAAACAGTAGCCCTCACAGTCATTGCACAGCCTGCAATGCAGCCAGTTGCTTGCCTGCCTCCTGTCCTTCCCGATGGGCCGGGTCCAGCCTCTCGAAGCCTCTGAGCTGGGCTGCAGACAGGAGGTGGTGATGAATGTGCAACCGCTCCGAGCCACGCAGCTCTGGGATTGTGTAATCCGATTGTAACACAGAAATAGCAGCTGGCAGCTCCCCAGCGAGCCAACTACTACAGCAGCTTGCTCTGTTTCTCTCCATGAAGTTTCACTTGAGAGCTTGAGTGAAGTGGATGGCTGTCTGGGCTCCAAAATAGCCCACTGTAATTTCCCTCCACTCCACACCCTGCAAATCCTTGTGGTGCTGACATTCACGCTCTCCCAACCTCTCACATTTTTCAAGAACAGTTGAACCAAGTGCTGGGAGAAAGCAAAGCCTGTGAAGCCACCTTGGCTGTGTTTTAATTCCTTCTGGAAAGATCCTAATGCAACACAGACGTTCACGATACATTTGCACTTGTAACTAAGCTCTGGCTATGTTTGAGCTTGGCTATAACGAGCTCTCCCCCAAATACCACACATGAAATACAGACAAAGAGACAAGGGGATTGGTTTCAGAGTTACATGTGATGGAAGGCTGAAGTCTAGGAGCAAGAATTGAGTAGACACAAGGATTCCCATACTCCTTCCCATCGCTGCTAATGACTGTCCACACCTAAAAGCCTGCTTAAATCTGTTTTGATGCTCCATTTCTGAAGCAAGTCCCTTACACACAGCTAAGCCATGATCTTTAGGTACGCCACCATGCTAGAGCTGGGCTTCATTCAATAAAAGCCACAGATGCTCTGAGCTGCTCAAAAAATGCCAAGAAATTGAGGTTGCCCCAAACTTCTGCTTTGTGTGAGGGCATGGGAAGTAGCAGACCAGAGGTGATGCTCTGCTACTGGTTCATGGTAACAAGTCCAAGGCTTGCTAACTTGACCAGGTAGAAATTTGGACAAGGTGACAAAAAGGAGACCGAAAGTAATGCAATAGCATCTAAATAAACTGCTGTTAGTCCAGCAGCCACATCAACTTCCGTGTGCCTTTTGAAGTCAATTGTATCACTGCTGGCTAGGCGAAAGCTCATGTCTTAGCTCACTAATTCTGAAATTGAGTGAAGACCATCAAAAATGCAGGCCACGTCCCTGCATAAGCCTTTGATCACTGAGGAACTGTTTCCCAGGCATTTCAAAGCTTGGATATTCAAAGGCCTTTTCAGGCAGTTAGAATAAAACTGATGTGTCTGCAACAATAATCAAGAAACAAGAAATTTATAGCTGGCAATCCAACATGAACACGAGTTGATTCAATTACTCATGTTCTGGTTCACCCTTGGGTTTGCAGACAGCCCTTTGCCCCTTTGTTTGGCCAAACCCAAACCCACGGCTACTCCAGACAGTGGTGAAAGAGCTTGTACAGCAATGCTTCACCATTACTGCTTTGTCTTATCAAAGTAGACCAATACTCTAAGCTAACAAAGCCACTTCTGTGAAAAAATAAAAATAAAAATCTGAAAGTGGCTTCATGTTTCAAACTCATTTATTATTTTACTTTTATATGCATGAGTCACAGCTCACAAGGTCTACACAAAGCCACACATAGGGGAAGAGGAAAAGGAAAAGGTTCCTTAATAAATGAGAAGGTAGGTGAGTATCTTCCAGGATCATCTCACCTCGATGTTAAATTGCAAGAAGGGGTTATGCACTGGTTGTAACTAAATGACAAATCAGCAGTTCTGAGCTGAGTTTTAAATCGTGGATGAATGGAAATGCAGTTTGCCTGGACTTTAAAAATCCAAGATAAGGAACAATGAAGTTACAGTAATGGCCACGACAAAGCATGTCTGTAGGACCCGCAGCTGGGCACTCCTCAGTCTTCGTCCTGCGTGTGTTACGCATTAACCCACGATAGGCACGGCAGAACACAAGTAATGCACACACAGCATCTGTGAGGCCTGCACAAGTCCAGGGGAAAAGGACACAGATGGAAGAAAACCTCTTCTCTGCTCTGACAAATTACAATTATCTCACTGTTGTGGCTTTTCCATGGCTCTCAGGGCTACGTGGTGTCAAGGGGCACTTTTGCTCTTCATAGTCAGCAGAGTCAAACGCTTCCCAAAGACTACGTCAAAAATCCCTCTCCCAATTTCTATCGGAAGCCTAAAAACAAAACCCTGTAACAGCTGTGTGCAGATGCTCTTCCAGCATCCCTTTCGACAGCTGCTGGACACCTCGGAGCGTGATGCACTGCCGCGTCCCCAGCCCGTGGTGGGTCAGACCTCAGGCTTCTTCCTGCTCCTCTTTTTAACTTCCCAGCATCAGCTGAGTTGAAGCAGTTTTCTGGATGCTTTCCCACTTCCTTACTACTTAACAAACAGCACTAAGAGCACGGAAAGGCTCAGCGTGCGTTTTTAAAGGAACCCAGGCTTGACAAGCACTACTTGGCTGTCACAGCTGTGATGGAGATGTATTGGCCTTTGGTTCTGCCCTGTTTTTAAAGCTGCTCTACAGAGTGTTTGACTGCATTTGATGGGGAACTTTAAAAGGCTCCTGTTCTGAAGTGATTTCAGAAGACAGCCTCCATGCAGCAAGGCTTTTTCTCACCCTGGCTCTTCAGCTACAGTTGACCTTGGTAAAATGGTGGCTTGGACAACTTCTGACCTTGTTTTCAGGGCTAATTCTTCTTCATCCCTGTGGTTGGATTTCCTTGTGGATTTCCTTTCCATGGCTGTACAAGGTTTCCCTTGACCAACAGGGAGGCAAATCACTAAGGATGGGCTTCAGGGCAAGAATAGTGCATTCTCTATCAGGTGATGCATGGCCCTGAAAACCACATTTTTGTTGTCCAGACTAGAAAATACCTGAGAAATAACATGCTGAAAGCTCAGGTCCAGTATGGCCCAATGAAAGAAACAAAAAACAGTCCTGTTTAAAACAGATTAGTTTATAAGACTGATCTTCTGATCCGATTTCCTGTACAAAATTGTCCAAAGACATCCCTTGAGCTCACTGAACGACTTAAGCAAGTGCATATCTTTCCTAGAAAAAAGATCCAATCCTCTTCTCAGTGACAGGGAATCCATCATGACCCCTGGCAAACTAAAGGAAAGATTAACGATCTACTTGGATCTAAAAAATGCTTTCAAGTTGGGTTACATATGGATGTATTGCTACCAATTTCCACTTACAGATTAAAAACTAATTAAAAAAAAGATCTAAAGGAACACAAGTCCTGGTTTGATTTCCAAGTCAGGAAATCCTCTCTGTAATTGCAGTCTCCCAGGTAAGTCCCGCTCTCCCACCCACACTCCACCCAGGTGTTTAAGGAGGTGCTGCTTTCCTCTCCAGGGAAATGTGGTGGCCTCCAGCAATCGCTAATTAACACCTTGCTGATCCACGAAGCACCGAAGAACACTTGCCTCTCTATCACTGCTGGCTCCGTAACCAGTAATTACATTCTTGTCAGGCTGCCAAGGTCCTCGCACACACCTGCACGCTGCCCGCACGGTCGTTAAGAAGAGATTTATAATAATTAATTGTAACATTCCTATCACAAACCTTCCCACCCACTTCCAGCAGTGGCATGCAAGTCCAACAACGGGCATGTCTGATTTCCCCTGCTTGTTAACAGAGTTCACAGCACGAGAGTTAAGTCAGTTAAGACTGTCTTCTCTCTGCATCCTTTGATGCTTTGATTTATTTTTTTCCCCTGACATCTTAATTTACATCCAGGCGAGGAACTGTGCTTTTTTTCTTCTCCTTGCCTGGTTATTTGTTCGCGCCTTCACGACTAGTCTAGACAGCCCTACCACTTACGATTTTCCCAAGGTGGATGCTTTCCAAACTGTACATCTCTCCTCCCACTGAAAGTGAGCCAAGCTTCACAAAACCAAACCTCTTCCCACAGCTCACCATTTCCCTGGCTAGCAGTTGGCTTCCAGAGCTGAAGAGGTGGGAACTGAAGGCCGTGTAAGGCATTCATCACCTCCAGTACTCTCCCCAGTTACCAGAGGTATCTAATGTTCATGCAGTGTCCCACCAAGCTGCATCCCTCATGTTGATATCCCTTCCCCCTCCTTACTTCATGCTCACCCTTTTAGACTCGAACTGCTAAGGTTGACAAGCACAGCTTGGGTGTCTGCTGCATTACTTCTCTTGCTGGTCTCGGTGCTACCCTTCTTTGCAAAAGCAAAAAAGCCCCGTTCAAATTTTCCTTCTCCCTGATTTGCTTCTAATCTGTTTTGCATTTTATTCTTTTTTTTTTCCTTTCCTTCTTTCCACACCATATTCTGTTTTTACATCCTTCTCAGTTTTCACTTTCTCTCGCAGGTTGCTGGCACCATTGACATCCATCTGCACTTAATCTTTTTTGGGGTTAAGTCTTACACACAAATATTTGCTTTCCCTGTTGGCACTTTCAGCAGTCTAGGCAAAACTTTGAAATTTCCCTGTGGCAATAGCAGTGGGAGGTCCCAGACAGGCAGGAAAGGGGCTTCACTCCCTCATTCCTCGTGGCCTTGCATCTCCGAGCATTTGTGGTAGCTGATTCCCATCCAGGATAGGACAGAAACAACATCCTTTGAGGCTCAACCATCAAGAACAGTCTGCAACCTTGGATTCTGTGCTACAAGAGGATACAGGATAAGAGCTACACAATCGTGAGTGCCATGGAGAGTAAATAGGGACTGACAGCACCTTCCAGCAGGAGAACTGGCTGTGTCAGATGGTATAGTGGGCAGCAGGTTCAAAGCAGGCAGTGGTGATTCTCAAGAGGAGACTGGACAGCTTCATGAAAGATAAATCCACTCAAAGTTACTAAATATACAGAAAGGACTAAATATACAGAAAGAACTAAATATACAGAAACTATTTCACTCCAGAGAGTCCTTGAACTGATAACATGGGAGGCTGGGATATCATCAGGAGGAATATCTCACTATCCCCTTCACGATCTCTCCTCTAAATACCTGCTTTAGATGTCTGTTGGGTTTCCTCAGGGGGGCAGGTGAAGGTGGACAGTCTTTCATCGCATATGGAAAAAAAAATTAACTGTCACAATTGGTTCGTTTCAGCTCTTTCACAGCCAAGCAGTCAGCAAGAAACATTTCAGCACTGAAGCTCACCTCTGCCTGACAATAAGACTTTAGGTACTGATAATAAGGTGAGTACTGATGATGCACCCACCAGGTGCCCGAAGACATGGTAAACCTAGTTTTCACATCATGTTTGCTCTTGATCCACAGAATTTGTGTCCTTCCTTTTTACTTCCATCTTCTTTGTCATCAATGGAGGTATTTTTTTGCCAATTTTAGGAGGCTGAGCTGTGAACAGTCTCTGGGCATGGTGGAGACAGGAAACTGGCACAGAGGCCATTGTTCTGATCCAGTACAACCAGTCTCAGTTTCTTACTGGTTAGATGGGATAACTATAAAAGCACTACAACCCCTTTTAAAATGGGTGGAATCATGCAGGGGAACAAGAGTCTGCCGGTGCAAACAATGTTAAAAGACAGAAGGTGAAATCTTGGTGGTGTCCCTGGAGAGGTCTGAATGCTAACTGTTGGCTGTTAATTTTTAACTTCCTACAAATTTCCTCTTGGCAGGAGCATTTGAAGAAGATTCTAAGAATTTATATTCCCCATTTTGAAAAATCCGTGAGTGTCACCTCCCAGAACAGCATGGCCGAGGCAGGCTGCACTCGGAGATTTGTCCCAAGGGGTCAAAGCAGTGGATTCTGCTCTTCACAAGCACTGGAGTAATGCCTGTGCTTCCTGACCCAACACCAAGACCCCACACTCCAACTATACCCACAAAGCATGTCTTGAGCTTCTCCTTCAGCTTCTCCTGCCTGGGCAGCTCCTTCCCTTGTTTCAGCTAGTTCCCTGCCTGCTAACCCAAAGGTTTTCTTTAAACTTTTTCCTATATTTGATAGAAGTAGACCAAAAAGATACCCTCTTGGGTATGTACAGAAACAAAAACAAGCTAGCTATCAGCTCTTGGAGGCCAAAAAGAGGAATGACACCTTTCTTCTGGCAAGTTTCCCTGAAGCAGGTGCCAGAAGGAAGCTGCCACCAGCTGGGAGATGCAGCGGGGGTGACTGCTTGCACAACCCAACAGCACTTGGGAAAATCCCTCGCAGCTCACTAAAGTCACCCCCTGCTAGCACTGGAGTGAAACCCATCCCTCTGGCTTCCCAACAAACTCATCTCAAGGACTGCCTGGAGCTGGCTTTGCTTGGCTCATGGACGGTAACTGAGATAACTCAACACTTGTCCTCTTCACACAAACTTCTGAGAGCAATTAAAAAAAAAAAAGAGTTTCCTACTCTTATTTTCTGTTGTATTTTCACCCATAAACATTTGTGTGTCTGGTGCTAGGGAACATGAGTGACTCTGATTTTTGTGATTTGCTGTTTACAGTTTGCTGACCGCAACTGTGCCTGAACATGTTATCCCAGCAAATCCAAACAGTGATAAACAAGGTCCCAGACACAGCCTTCCATCTCCAAAGGTCCCAGTTGGGTCTCCTGGCAATGAGTCATATGAAAGAGAAGTGGACATGATGAAATTGTTACCAAAAGTCCCTTGGTTCATCCACAGCTCCAAACTGCCCTGCTCTTATTAATACTTTTCTTTTTTTCTTAAGGCCACAACTGGCAATATTTTATTTTTTAAATTAGTGAAACATATCACCATTCCCTTGTCATAGCCACACAAACAGATGATTTCATTTCAAACAAAAGAGAAGCAAAATCTGCAGCACTAGGGGTGGGGTGCCAGCTTTTCAGTTGATGAATCTCCATCGATTTCCCAGCCCTGGTTATCTCAGCCTTTAAGCTAGTCATTGAGTTTCCCTGACATCCCCTGGGGGAAGACACTTCACCTAGCCGTGCCAATCTGCCCGTGATAAGGGTGGTTAAATATTCACCTGATCTCCTGGGAATTTCTGACAGTGTGCCAGGGAGGGGTACTGATAAAAGCTGGCTTTTGGTGGACAAAGCACTCAAGAAAGATGCCCAGGGAAACATAAAATACATGCAAAATGTATGATCAAAGCCCCTTCTACAATATATGCTTGGAGATCAAATAGAAAGAGCCCTAAAATCACTGTTGAAATAATTCAGAGAGCCCCATGTGAAAGGTCATCTTACATGATGGTTCCAACAGTGTTGCCTGGCTTAGAAAGCTTATTCTGAGTGTTTCTTCAGGCTTTGGGGTCTAAGACTTTCTATGGTCAAAGATATTGTTCCTTTTTGATAAAGTATTGCTAATATATGCACTCTTTTTTTTTTCTTCTCCTAACACCATTTTGATTTTTTTTTCTTTTTGTAAATAAAGCCGTTTACACATTTTGCACCATTTCCTAAATCAGCCTGTAATTGACTGCAAGCATTTAAAAAAAGCAGGGACAGGGGTTTTGGAATTTCAAAACACACGGAATTGCTTTAAAGCAATTTAGAAAATTGGATTCAAATCCACAAAATAAAACTCAACATCTTACAAGCATTCGGTAATTCTTATCCAAAAGGCTTTATAAGCTAGAAGATAAAGGCTCCAAAATACATCATAAGCTCTAGGCAAATTCAAGCCACACAGCATCACACACAAAAGGAGGACTCTGCACAGGCTGTGGTGCTTCCTTCAAGATCTGGTCTTTTCCAGGGCACACTGAAGCTAAGCCCAGGACCATTTTATACTGGAAAAGCACATGGTGAGACAGAGCCATAGTAGTGGTTAGGGTGTTGTGTGGCATAAACGCTGCAGGACCACACCAGTCCCTCCCAACTCACATATTATACTGGGTATGGATTTCCAAGTCACTGAGCTGCTCTAGACAAGAAGACAGGAACATCAAATGCTGACACCACAAGAACAACTTGGGGCAGGGGAAGGACCAGTCCTGATGTTTGGACCGATCCCCTTAGCCCTGCAGAAATCATTAGACCTTGATAAATGTTCAAGACCTTGGCTTTGGAAGCACTCAAACCCCTACCTTTTCACCACACTGAGATATGACAGAGGCCACTTCCCTAACTATAGAGGGGGGTCTGGTGGTTCTGGCATCGCAGATCTGGGGCTCAGCATCAGAAATAGCTTTTATCTTTAGGAGGGAGCCACCAAGCACTTCCTATAAAGGTTTTCAGTGGAGCCTTTTCACTTCAGACTCATACAGGTCCCTGCCATGTCTTTCTTGACACGAGATGCCACCTTCGTCAACCTGTCACTTTAATATTGTTTTTTATTTAAAAGGCTAAATAAATCAGGGGAGATATTTCAGCTCAGACACTAAGACACTTCAGTTTAGAATAAAGGTAGCTGTTTACAGAGAAGATCAGTGTCTTGGTTTTTCACAGTAGTGGAGATCTAGAGCCCATACAAGGTGTCTAGCTCTTTCTTGGACAACTTAGTGAGCCAAAAACATCATCAGAGGACCACAAATGACTGCTCAGCTTGTCCTAAAACAGACACCTCTATTTGGGCAGCTAAATTGCTCTCTGTCCTCTTTGATCTGTACTGCCTAGGAATGGGATTTAGCTGCCCACCTTGCAACACCTAGTTCCACCTGAAATATCCATGTGGTCTCCAAGCTGCCAGTGCAGAAGGTGATGTTCAGGCAAGCATAAAGTTTCCTGCTGTTCCTGGTCTAGTGTTTGCTCCCTCAAAAGACCACAGGCACCTGCTTCAGGTGACAGAATTGCTCCCATAAAGCTAAGTGTCTCAGTCTTGCCACTCAGGAGGGGAAATGCCAGAGACATCCAGCTGGCCTCATCTCAACCTTCTGGGCTTGAGGGTGGAAAAAAAGAAAAAAGGAAGAAAAAAAATGCTTTTGTTCTTTTAGTGGTTTCCCTTACTTAAGAAAAAGGCATGTTACGCTAACTGGAACCACGTTTCTAAGATGTTAAATAGCAGAATACCACATCTGAACATCTGCTTGGTGCTGGTGACCTACTAGAGTAGGCAGAGATGAAACTCTCCATGAAAGCACACGACAAGTCTGCAATGACCTCTGTTCTGCTCTTGGGGTCCAAAACTGCTCTGAATTCTCTTTTAGCTAGATAGGGAGCTTGTCTCCTTCCCTTCTCCACTCTGGGTGCTTATGCTGCTGCCTGCAAAGACTGCCTACCTCTTTCCAGGATGGAAAAACAAAACAAAACAAAACAAAACAAAACAGAATTTCACAGAATTTCACAGAATTTCTAGGTTGGAAGAGACCTCAAGATCATCGAGTCCAACCTCTAACCTAACACTAACAGTCCCCACTAAACCATATCCCTAAGCTCTACATCTAAACGTCTTTTGAAGACTTCCAGGGATGGTGACTCCACCACCTCCCTGGGCAGCCCGTTCCAGTGCCTCACAACCCTTTCAGTAAAGAAATTCTTCCTAACATCTAACCTAAAACTCCCCTGGCGTAACTTTAGCCCATTCCCCCTCGTCCTGTCACCAGGCACATGGGAGAACAGGCCAACCCCCACCTCTCTACAGCCTCCTTTAATGTACTTATACATAGCAATAAGGTCACCCCTGAGCCTCCTCTTCTCTAGGCTGAACAAGCCCAGCTCCTTCAGCCGCTCCTCATAGGACTTGCTCTCCAGGCCCCTCACCAGCTTCGTCGCCCTCCTTTGGACCCGCTCAAGCACCTCGATGTCCTTCTTGTAGCGAGGGGCCCAAAACTGAACACAGTACTCGAGGTGCAGCCTCACCAGAGCCGAGTACAGGGGGACGATCACCTCCCTAGCCCTGCTGGTCACAGTGTTTCTGATACAAGCCAGGATGCCGTTGGCCTTCTTGGCCACCTGAGCACACTGCTGGCTCATATTCAGCCGACTGTCCACCATCACTCCCAGGTCCTTCTCTGCCTGGCAGCTCTCCAACCATTCCTCTCCCAGCCTGTAGTTCTGCTTGGGGTTATTGCGCCCCAGGTGCAGGACCCGGCACTTGGCCTTGTTGAACTTCATACAGTTGACCTCAGCCCATCGGTGCAGCCTATCCAGATCCTCCTGCAGAGCCTTCCTACCCTCGAGCAGATCGACACACGCACCTAGCTTGGTGTCATCTGCGAACTTACTGAGGGTGCACTCAATGCCCTCATCCAGATCATTGATGAAGATGTTAAAGAGGACCGGCCCCAGCACCGAGCCCTGGGGGACGCCACTAGTGACTGGCCTCCAACTGGACTTGGCTCCATTTACCACAACTCTTTGGGCCCGGCTATCCAGCCAGTTTCTAACCCAACGAAGTGTGCGCCAGTCCAAGCCAAGAGCAGCCAGTTTCTTGAGGAGAATGCTGTGGGAGACGGTGTCAAAAGCCTTGCTGAAGTCAAGGTAGACCACATCCACAGCCTTTCCCTCATCCACCCAGCGCGTCACTTTGTCGTAGAAGGAGATCAGGTTTGTCAAGCAGGACCTGCCTTCCATAAACCCATGCTGGCTGGGCCTGATCGCCTGCTTGCCCTTCAAGTGCCGCATGATGACTCCCAAGAGGATCTGCTCCATGAGCTTCCCTGGTACTGAGGTCAAAACTGACCGGCCTGTAGTTCCCCGGGTCTGCCCTCCGGCCCTTCTTGTAGATGGGCGTCACATTTGCTAGTCGCCAGTCAGCTGGGACCTCCCCCGATAGCCAGGACTGCTGATAAATGATGGATAGGGGCTTGGCCAGCTCCTCTGCCAGTTCTCTCAGTACCCTTGGGTGGATCCCATCCGGCCCCATCGATTTGTGCACATCCAAGTGCCGTAGCAGGTCACCAACCAGTTCTTTGTGGATGGTGAGGGCCACATCCTGCTCCCCGTCCCCTTCCACCAGTTCTGGGTACTGGGTGTCCAGAGAGCAACCGGTTTTGCCGCTAAAGACTGAGGCAAAGAAGGCATTAAGCACCTCCGCCTTTTCCTCATCTCTTGTAACTAAGTTTCCCCCCGCATCCAGTAAAGGATGGAGATTCTCCCTACTCCTCCTTTTGGTGTTGATGTATTTATAAAAGCGTTTTTTGTTATCTTTAACAGCAGTAGCCAGATTGAGCTCCAGATGAGCTCAATCCTAATCTTGTCCCTGCACAGCCTCGCTACATCCTTATAGTCCTCCTTAGTGGCCTGCCCAATTTTCCAAAGATTATAAACCCTCTTTTTTCTCCTTAGCTCAAGCCACAATTCTCTGTTGAGCCAGGCTGGTCTTCTTCCCCGCTGGCTCATCTTTGGGCGCATGGGAATAGACCGCTCCTGCGCCATTAGGATTTGCCTCTTAAAGAGCGCCCAGCCTTTCTGGACCCCTCTGCCCTTCAGAACCGCCTCCCATGGGACTCCACCAACCAGTGTCCTGAGCAGCCCAAAGTCAGCCCTCCGGAAGTCCAATACAGTGGTTTTACTGGTTCCCTTCCTGGCCCCGCCAAGAATAGTGAACTCCACCATTTCGTGGTCACTCTGCCCAAGACTGTTCCCGACAATCACATCCTCCACCAGTCCTTCTCTGTTTGTGAAGAGAAGGTCTAGCAGGGCACCACCCCTGGTAGGTTCACTAACCAGCTGCGTCAGGAAGCTATCTTCCACGCTCTCCAGAAACCTCCTAGACTGCTTCCTCTGGGCTGTGTTGTGCTTCCAGGATATGTCAGGGAAGTTGAAGTCCCCCACGAGTACAAGCGCCGACGATTTCGCAACTTCTGTCAGCTGCCTGTAGAACTCCTCATCCGTCTCCTCATCCTGGTTCGGCGGTCTATAGCAGACCCCGACCAGGACACTAGCCTTGTTGTCCCTGCCGATCCTAACCCAAAGGGACTCGATCTGGTCATTCCTAGCCACGAGTTCTACAACATCGAAAGACTCTCTAATATAGAGAGCCACACCGCCACCCCTTCTGTGCTGCCTGTCCCTTCTGAAGAGCCTATAGCCAGGCATCGCAGCACTCCAGTCGTGGGACTGGTCCCACCACGTTTCCGTGATGGCAACCAAGTCGTAGCCTGCCCGCTGCACGATGGCTTCCAGCTCCTCCTGTTTGTTACCCATGCTGCGTGCATTGGTGTAGATGCACTTCAGCTGGGCCATTGCCTTATCCTCCGGCCTTGCCATTGCTCTTGTTTGGGATTTTGTTTTTAGCCCTGATGTGTGTTTAGCCCCAGGTGCTGCTGCTGTGATGGAAGGAGCCACAGCACATCTTTAACATCTGTAAGGCAGCAACAACCATCCATAAGAAGTGGGATGCACTCCAGCAGCTCCTGAGCACCACTAACTTGGAAGCACCGGGACATTTCACAGCAGTATTTTAGCTGCTTCTAGACATGGGTCAAATTTAAGAGGGTTTTGTCACTAGATGTGCTTTTGAGCGATTTTTATGGCAGCAGGAAAGATTTGAGCATAAATTACTATTTCCTGGATACATTTAATCTAAGTTCTGCGTTCTTTGGGGAAAAAACCCAAGAATCACATTTGTTCCCTGTCCTTTGAAACAGAGACTTAAGAAAACACAGGCTCGATTAAGATTTTAAAGGACAAATCATGAAGTGTTCCCTGAACTCAGACAAAACGTGCTGCCAGCCAGTGCCTGAGCCTAAACCACATGAAAGGCAGAACCACGATCACTGATGGCAGCAACAACCCTTCCATGGGTATTCTTAAAACTGTTTCCAATCCACAGACTTTTCTGAACATCTGCTATCATGTCCAGCTCTAGCTGTCTGCAGGGCTCAGGGGAATTTGCAAGTGATTGCTAAAAAAATTTGCCTCCAGGTTGTCTTTGAGAATCTGGCAGATGGAGGGGGGCTGTGGATGCTGCTACCTCCTGGGGCTGTTCTGCCAAGGGGACAAGACTCTGCTATCACACCAGTGGGAATGGGAAGTGGACAGGGACAGAGCACACTGAAACCTTATATAGTCCCTCCCAGAGCCATGCCCCATGCAATAAATCTTCCTGCAGATGCAGGCAGCAAAAGGAGAGAGTCTTCTTCCAAGCAACAGCCCCACTCCCAGCTTGAACCAAACCTCATAAATGATGGAGATCTCACCACATCAGTTGGTTATACATTTCAGTGGATTATGTCCTCACTTTCTTTATTTTTTTTTCAATATTTTCTCTCATTTACACCTGTTATTTTTTCTTTGTCTCTGCTTAGAGCTACCTCTCCAACAGGGGTAAATGCACACCAAAAATAAGTTGCCTGCTTCCTTCCCACAGATAAACCATGTACACGGAGATTCCCACATTAAGACGTCTTTTGTAGACCAGGAATAAACTCTCAGCACCTCTCATCCACCCTTCTGAGACCTCAGAGCATGGACTGGTGTCCAGCAGAGCTCTCCCACAGGTGCTATCACTAAGTCCCCTCCTCATCGTGTCTCCATCTCCACACCCCAAAACGATGCTTTTAGGTGGAAAAGAGCTTTCCTGCTGCACAACAAAACAGATTTTAAGGGGATGTGGCTGTTATGTTCATGCTTCAGAAACCGAAACAGGATGTTTTCCTCATGCAATGGAAATGGGGACTTACAGCATTTGAATTTCTATTCGTATCCTTGGCCAGCATCAGTACAAGCTGTTCCTCCACTCTGACTTTTCTTGCTTTCTCTCCCCACCTACCATCCAGTTGTGCAACTAGCTGAATTTTTTCCACAAAAAAAAATATAATCAAAAACATCCAGGAGAACATAATTGTGTTCAGACCCTGTGCAAAGGCTCTGGAAAGACCAAAAGCAAGCCAAACAAGTGAACGTGCTCCAAAACAGACTTACATTGAAGATGAATGGAGGTGACAAACTCATTGCGTTTTGGGGCAATGAAAAGGATGTGTCACCATCCACCTGAAGAAGTCAGGCTTCATTCCAGCCACGTGCTTTGGTTTGAGTAAGAATTAGACAAATAAGTTAAAAGATAGAAAAGTATTCAGACTGCTGTTTCTAATCTTACTGGGGATAAATCCTGTGTCAAAGAGAATTGACTCCACTGGACTAGGATACACAGCCTATCATACCTGCCTTGATTTTACAAATCCACAGAATGGGAATGGTTCTCCCTCCACACTTCCACAGGAAATGAAGATGAGTCTATTTGAGGATGAAATTATTTACATACTAGCTTACATTTTTGTCTTACATCTTTTCTCATCTTGAAACACCCCATTGATTTCTGCAGGAAACACAGAAATACTGCAGAACAAGTCCATTAAAGGCTTTCAGATCTCAGGAAATATATTTTTTCGCTTTCTTGCTTTTAAGTTTCTTGGGCAGAAATTCAGACCTGGCTTTCTAGCTGTATTATTTCCCTTTCACATTACACAATGTCATGGAAACTTGCTTCTCCTTGAATGTGTTTTTTTCCTACTGGCATTCATTTTACAGATAACTGGACTGAAGTTGTAATAGTATCCTTCCAAAAAATAACTCTTTAATTGGGGCAGCAAAAGGAGGCATCCCCTGTGCCAGCTGCCAGAGGCACCTGCAACAATTTGGGCAGTTACTAGCTGCAATCGGCCACACCAAAACCCTCCCAGTCCCCCCCAGAACAGCCGTTCTGCTTTGTCACTTCGCATTAGCTGTGTGTTTCCAGGCTGACAGCAAAGCCAAACCTGCAACCACGTGGCTGCTCCTGCCCGAGCGCCACGGGGCAAGGATGCTTCTGGGGAATTTGGAAAGGCACTTGGCTGGTAGAGGCAGGACGGGCTTTAGAAAGCTCCGTCTGCAGCTTCCATTAGGGACTCGAGCTACCGTTGCCTCGGAGCCAACTTGGCTTGCCCTTCATGAAAATAAACATCAAAATGCATGAGCTGGGAGAAAATATGTCCCTATTTGAAAGACTTCATCTCCCTTCAAGGCACAATGGCTGATCCGGTTACAGGCAGTATCACAGGTGTCCCATCTGCCAGCTGCCAGCTGGATTTTCGCGGTTGTTGATTTTAGTAAACATTTTCTCCATCTCACAGGTGCATCAGGAGAGACAGAAGAGGAAAGAAAAGACTTCTGCCTGCGTTCACATTTGACTGTGTCCAGCAGCTAAACCAAAGTCCAGCTCTGCCCACAGCCAGACCAGTGTGTGCACCATGGACAGACCCTGGCCCAGGACTGCCGATCCTGGACCCCATGAATCATCCTTTCCAACTACTGAACTACACAAAGTATGGATTTGCATACATAAGAACATTTAATGCGTCTACAGACACACAGATTTACAGAGGGTCTTGGTGGCTCCTATAATTGGGCTCACTATTCTAAGGCTAACTTGGTACTGTCACTCTCTGTGGTTGAAAAATCATGGGACAAGTATGAATTATAAGTACAACTGGATCAAAAAGGACAAAAAACAAATAAGAAAGAAAGAAAAAAAAATAACTATCTGCTTCTTTGGGACACAGATTCTGTTTTGCTTTGGGTTCATAGGATAATACACCCACCCTACAGGAACACAGGCCTCAACCCTCCTCCTTGGCAGTCAGGGATACCCCGGGCATCACCTTGCCTACAGGAACCTCAGTTGAAGAAGGTGATTTTGGACATGGACAGAAGCACTTTCAAGGACATGTTGCCACACATCTCTTCAGGTCCCACCTCCAGTAACTGCCCAAGGCCCCACCAGCTGCCTCCCCTCACCCACCAGTGCTTTTAGCCTTCCCAGTCCACCTGCAGTGGGTCACAGACCTTCCCCTTCCCATGCTGAAGGGGCTGTGAGCAGGACCAAAAAGCAGAGGAATCACTCAAATGTTCACACATGGGGAAGGAGAGAAGGGTCCAAAGTCAGCCTTGGTCTCCTCATATCTTCTTGTCACTGCTTATGTCATGCCAGTGTCATCTCCAGAGATTATGGGGGGAGATTTCCATATCTCACTACAGTGCTGCTGTTGCATGCAAGGTGGGAAGTAAAAAGGGTTCCCTCCAGACAGGGCAGCAATTTGGGTGGGGATTGCTTCTTCTGTCATTGTAAAAGTGGCTCCAAATACAGCTGGGATTCGTAGAAAAATAATGTGTGTTTCTTCTAATATCTCTTCCCCTTTCCTCCCCTCCTCTCCTCTTCTTTCTTCTTCCAGGTGAGCAAAGCATTTGCAGCAGATGTGTTTCATTATGCAAATTTTAATAACATATTCAACAAGGCTACAGTAAAGCAAATGGTACCTTTGCACAAAGTTTCTGCCTCACCTACAAATGCCAAGCAGTGCTGAAGGCCTCCTGAGCAAACCGCTTCTTCCCCACCATTACATGTGGGTGCTTATGGGGTAGTTTCAAACTTCCCATTGCCCTCCCCAGAAGGAAATATCGCTCAGCCCAGCCTCTCCCAAACTTTTTGGTAGTGCAGAGGGAATGTGACCAGCTCAACAAATGTCCTGCCTCTCCTGGATGCTCTGAGACTGCAGCAGTGACATCCTGCCTGTGCCACATGCAATGGAGCTGGCCCCATCCAGGCTGCTGCATCTTTCTTACACCACGGGAAACACATTGTGTCTACCCTTGGCTAAGAGACCACTTGGTCAAGGGCTTGAAATAAAAATAAATTTTAAAAATGTCTTTGTCCAGTGGAGCAAACACTGTGGAAGGATTCGTGGTCAGCACCACCACCACAGGGCCTTCAACCACCTCTGGGCTGGGAGTCCCAGGGGTAAGGGGACAAGGCTCCCCACAACCTTGGCTGCAGAAGGCGGGAGGGACACTGGGGTCCCTCTGACCCTGTGTTTGTGTCCCTTGGTGTGCAGAGCTCAGCCCCACCACCTACAGCCACCTCCATGGCCACCAGCAGTCTCCCACCCTGAAGGAGAAGGACCAGGCTGAGACCCAAAATGGCACACTGCGCTCAGGGCTCGAGGCCTGCTCACGTACAGCAGCAGATAGCCTCATGCCATGAAATCCAGAGCGATTCCATGCATTTGGCAGACAGAATTTCTTGAAAGCGTGGCTCTAGATAATTAAAAGCAGCCTGGAGCCATGTGGGTGTCTGCTCATCACCAGTTCCTGGAAGAATTGCCTTTGGAGGCACATGCACGCACATATCCATGGCTGCCCAGGTGTCTCCTTGCCCCACAGGTTGGAAACAAGATATTTGTCTGGGTATCACACACTTTGAGGTGCATAGGTCAGAGAGAGCTGTGCTCTGGAGTAACCTGCACCTGCTGATAGGAGCAAGTTGGTCCAGACTCCTCCGCCAGGAGCTGGGACACTGATGTGGGACTCTCCTTGCCTTGTCCTGAACCCATGTTGGTACAAAGTAGGGGCCTCCCCTCAGCAGCTCCCAGTCGGTCACAGAAAGAGTTCAGGGGTGGGGAAAAGCTCCCTTTTCAGCCCCAGATTGGTTACAACCAATATCAAATTCAAGGCTCTTACACGCTACATAAGGTCAACCCTCCTGCACTGTATGACAGCAAGCAGCCAAGCTGCCTCCTGACAAAGAAATAAGGTGCCTCTATAAGGCACCCTAATAATAAAGACATTTCCCCATTTCCCTCCTTGGAAGCACTCAGAATACTTTCTAGCTGCTATAAATATATATACATGTATATATATATACATACATATATATATATATATATATATATATAGACCATATGGACCATATGCAATGGAAAAATCCCATGGATAAGACCATTTCGTACTCCTCTGTGATCTTTTATTCTCTATATTTGTCAGCCTGTGTGGTTGTGAGAAGACAGAAAACTGATAGGGAGCTGCCAATCACACCCCTAAAAATCCGCTACCACAGGATGGGTGGGAAGTTTTGGAAATGAGTCAATGCCATTTCCATGCTGAAAGGCTCTCGGGGATGTTACACAAATATATCAACTGTCTCGTGGTCTCCCCTCATCCCATACACTTGTCAGCAGTTCTCCATCTCATCTAATACTGCTCACAAATATTCAAATCAAACACAGATTGTAGGAATGGGGTACACTCGGGGTGGGTTACTGGGAGGAAAACAAAGACACTGTAAATCATTAATAAAATAACCCAGAAGCGATGTGCACTTTCTATCATGCTATTAGGCTGATGGAGAAAGAAAAAAAAATCAAACCTCTATTTATTGGACCCTATTTTTATTAACTTTGAGGTCATTTTGCCCTGCCTTTGCCACGTTGGAGTGTTTTAAAGTGAGAATGCTTTCTATTTCCCAGTCCTTAGGGCCAGGGAAGGGAGGATCCCTTGTGCAGCTCATGCCACAAGCAAACACAGAAGACCAGTAAGTGGGAGTTAAAGAAAACTGCCTCAAGCAAGCCAGGCTTCAGTAGCTGTCCAGGTTCAGTGGCCTGCACACCATGCTCAAGGGCACGACAAGAGGCTGCCCATGACCTGCCCTTTCCCTAGATGCTTCAGGGTAACTGCAAGCGAAAACTGTTAGTTATCAGCTAGTTTTTCTAGTGCCCACGCTTTCCATGATTCCTGTACAGGGGTCATCTTTAGCACTCCCTATGTTCATCTCAGCCACAGCAGGAAGAGTCCTGGTCCCTGCACCCAACTCTGGCAGAGAGTAGCTCTCCAGCAGGCACCTGTCCACAATTTCTAGCCATGATATCATTTAACTACTGCTCAGACTCAAAATCAGAGAAGTCAGAAAAATTATGGAGACTTCCCCAGCTTTTCCTCTTTTTTTCCTCTCTCTGGGGGTAGCAGCAGCCCCATGCCAGTCACCTGGGGAAAGGAATCAGTATAGGTCCCGATGGCAAATATTATGTAAATCCTCCTCCAGTAGCCCAAAGAGCTTTTGCGGAAGCTGCTGTTTTCCATGCCCTCATGGTCTTATGAAGTGTCTCTGAATGTGAGCCATGACCATCCGCCCAGCTGAGATCATTAAGGCAAGAAACAGGCTGCAAATGCACTGCTGCCCAGGGATGGGGTCAGGGAGTGATCCAACCCAGTGGCTCCCGGTGTGTGCACAAGGTCTTTGCTAAAATACAAATAGCTCTGAAACTATTTCCTCTGCTTCCGCAGGGGAAGAATGCCATTTAATTTAGTTTTCACTTTGCATAATAATGGGAAGGCCAATTATGCAATTATATCGCTTTTCTTATCTGGTTCTCTTTTTAGCTGCTCCAAAGCCTTGCAGGTGTTGTAATCAGGTCATCGGGTGCTTGTTACAGCAGCCAAAATGCCACCGGAGAGGAAGACCCGAAGATGCTATGCAGATATTTGTAGACTGCCTCCCAGCGAGCTAATTACCTTGCTTTTTATTAGGGTCACTGACTATTCTCCTAAAAGCCTTATTATACCCAGACAAATCTCTGAAGGTCTCCCAGAATGTGAGAACGGGGTAATTCAACTGAAGTAGCAGCATGACCTTGGATCTGATGCTTGAGAGGGGGAGAGGCAACACATGGAGAGACTTAATGAAAGATAAAATCTTCCCCTGCAACCTCGACAAGTTTAATGGAAGTTATTGGGCTCCTCAGCTTCCATGGGCTTTATCACCAGTGCCAGTGCTCTCAGTAGCTCATGGTCAGTTTGACATCCTGCTGTTAATTCCCTTGTGATGGACATGGGGTCATCTTGCAGCTCTTGGTGCCCTGCAAAAAAGCACTGCATGGCCACTAGGCTGTGAGCATCTCTGCAGCTTTGCCCAGCGAGCTCCCAACGAGCTTAAATGGAGATCAACAGACTGAGCCTCCCTACCAGCTTGTTGACAAACCCAGGAGATGAAATTCCATTGAATAACAAATAGTTTGACACATACACAAGGGCGTTTGACACCTCCATAATCCAAACCTCAAGTCACTGCGGTGTAATCCCTCCTGTGCAGACAAAGCAGCAAGGTCTCATTCAAGAGACTGCACAACCCTGCAACAGGCCAAGTCAGGAGGAGTAAAGGAAAAAGGCCCCTGGGCACTTTTCAGAGCCTGAAGGGAGATGGAGGTTGTGCCTTGGCCAGCACGGGGCAGCCTGGCATGGCCATTGAGGAGGCTGCCAAACCTTGCAAACTCTTTGATGTATCTGCAGGTCCTCCCTGAGGGCACCGACGTGAGGCTTGGGTACAAACAGGGAGCTTTTAAGAATTTTAATCAGGTTTTTATTACTCCTTAATTGGTCCTTTCTTTAATAAAAGCACCTTATTAAAGGAAACTGCTGCGACTGCAGGATTCCTTTTATAGGTAAATATTGCAGCTCTCCGAGGGGAGCGAGGGTGGGAAGAACTGACCGAGACCATAACTCCAAGGGGAAAAAGGGGAGTTCCTATGCCGTTATCTCCACCAACATCAGCTCTTCAGCTTTAAACAGAAGGGAGAGAAGTGGCAGTGACTTGTTACAGCCCCAAGCCCAGAGCTGTGATGGGAACTCGGGGCTTTGGCAGCAACCTAGCAGCAAACCTAAGTGAAGCAGGAGGTCTGCAAACATCACTAAGGGGCTGTGAGAAAAGTCAGAGCAGGGCCCTGTTAATTACAAACCTGGAAGCCAACACGCAAGTGCCTAAAGAAAGGACAGCTTGAGCTACTGTTGCTCTCCAGAGTGGCCAGAACAGGCACCTGAGTGAATTTACGAGACTGTGGGGTTATTGGAAAGCCGTGGAAAGCAGCTTCTGGCCCTCAGCCCAGATTGCAAGGGGCTTAAAAACGCAGCTGGAATCAGCTTCCAGCAGCAGTAGCAGCCCGGGAGGAGGAATGTGTTATCCCCAACAAGACGCGCCTGGGCTCTGGCCTGCTTTTCCCACGTGCCCAGGGGCTTTCTGAAAATTAAAAGGGCTTCCCGTGCTCTGCATCTCTTTACTGTGTCAGTGCACCAAGGGTTTCCCACACATCTATTTGCTCTCTTTTCCATTGTCTTCCCCAAGTGCCAGGCACAGCAGCTGGGAGGAGAAGAAGGAGCCATCGGTGTTCCCCTCATTTCACCCCATGGGACAGCCCCAGTGAGGCTGGCTGCATGCAAGGAGCACAGGGAAAAAAAAAAAAAAAAAAAAAAAAATGTCTTCTGGAGTACATGATCCAGCTGGAAGCAGATTTCATCACTTCCAAACCTGCTAGGGCCAGGCTGCTTTTTGACAGAGTGCTTTTGAAGATGTCCCAGGACCCAAAGGCAGTACTTTAGCTACTAGCTCCTAAACCAGACCTTCACCTTCTGGTCTGAGGATCTCAGCATCTACATCTCTTCCCTCTGTCTTCACAAAACATTCATGAATGATTTTTACCAGACATCTATGTCAAAAGACAGCTAGCAAGACCCCTGCCACCTCACTACTGCATGTGCTTCATCATCTGTGTAAGATGTTCACCCCTTGACACCATCACAGAGCCCCTTTGGTGTCCCCAAGTCCCCTAAAAGCCCAGTTTCCAAAAACCTCCAATAAATAATTCTCCAAATCATGTTCAAAGAGCACATTTGGAGATGGAAACTGTTCGCACCATGGTGGGATGCAAACAACTAAAGCAAGCAGATGCAGGAAAGTCACCATTAGATGTGACATAGCAAAATGAGGAGCAAAACCCTAACACAGAGCTGCACCCTGGATGCAGGTTCCTGCATTGGGAAGACATGGGGAGCACTCGCAAGAAGGGCAAGCAAATTCCTAACGCAATTCTTATCCATCTCCCAAAATGGGAGCACAGATGCTCGGGCTGAATGGGAGCACAGTCAGCCTGAACTATTTTTAACTGGTGCAGAGGAAGCATTTACTTTTCATTGCTGAAGGAAGCAGTGGGGAGACAAAGCAGCCAGCAGTAGGGCTGAATTTATTCCCTTGACGGGTGTGTGCCAAAGTATTTAAAGCCCCCAGCCCCAGCTGTAATTCCCCCTTAATCTGCTCACAGCTGTGCAGGGTCATGTAGCACAGCAGCTGAAAGGCACTTTTGGTTCGTGCTCTCTGGGTTGCTCCAGCCTGCCCTGGGGGATTCTGCCTTGTAGTTTCCCTTCCAGGTAACAGGTGAAATGTACTGTTGGCATGAACCAACCCACAGGTTCCCCTACATTTAGCTTAAAATGTATACTTGAGCATCACCATTCCCCCTTTTTTCCCAAAAATATCAATGATGGGAAAACTGGTGCTCGCAGGGCATCCCACGGACTGGGGTCATGCCTGTTGTGCTGCTGGCCAGGTGGAAAAACAGCAGCTCACACTTTGCACGTGGGTGGCTGGGCAGCTCGTGGGGGAAAGGCTGGGTTTGCTGCTCAGCTCCATCTCAAACGAGCCACCAGAGCTTCTGCTGCCCCACGTAAATACTGTGCTTTGCAGGGATCCACAGGAACCACGAGTGATGACGCATGTCCCATCCATCCTGACCTAAAGAGGTGCTTTAAATGTTCTCAGCTACCAGTGGAAACCCCCCAGCTGCATAAAACAAATGTCTGGCACTAACACATAGAGGTCTCCAACTTCCACTTTTGGAAGCGTGGATGCACAT